CCCCCCACTGTCTACCCTTTGAGCTTTGTCCTGGGGCAGGACCCCCCCTCGGATCTGAAACAGTTGATTCTCCCACCACGTGATTCTCCGGACACCCACGAGTCAGCCAGGCTCTTTCCCGTATCTGCTCTTTAATGTCGCCAAGGTGTGGAGGTTGAGGTGCTCTGCACACTGAAACTGCCTCATTAACATGGGACCTGCTCTTCTTAGATGGGGCTGTATCTGCAGGGATGGGGGTTCGTACGTAAGGCATATTTTGGGGACCATGCACATCAGCCCCTCACCCCCTTTGATTGGCCTGTCGAGGGATGAATACAAGCTGGGAGCCCAAATCCCTTTGTAAAGAGTCTCTCTGTACAAGCTCTCGAATGCATGACCGCCCTGGCTCCTGACAGTGACTTAGGAGTAAGGACCGTTATTCCCGTGTACAGACGAGGAGGCAGACCCAGGGAGGCTCGAGAGTGTTCCCAGGGTCCCACGGCAAGCACAGGGTGGCCAGGCCACCAGCACGATAGAGTGGGGCCCGCCGATTTTGCAAGGTTGCCAGTGTGCAGACTGACTCACTGGTTGCTGTGATGTCATGGAAGCCTGGTGACACCAGTGAAGCCAGGAAAGGGAGGTGCTCTAGGTTGGAGGGGTGGGGGTGAGGGGTTTGCCCTGCAGTCTGTCTGAGAGCGACTTTGGCTGGTCCAGCCGGTGGCAGACACCCCCACACACACACCCACACACACCCAAGGGGTGGGGTGGGGTGGGGCACATAGCTGTCAGAGGAGGCTGGGGAAGGGCAGACCCTGGTCCGTTCCTCTGGAAACTGACTCTCACCCGTCCTGCATGTGCTCTTCCCACTTCCAGCCCAAATCAGTGCGGTCAGTGTGCTGGCATCTCGAAGCCCGGAGTTGGCACAGGGCATCAAGGTCATGGACAAGGAAGGCAATGTCGTTGGCCACTCCAGAAGGGCCGGGGAGAAGGTAAGAGGCTGTGAGGGGGTTTAAACCCTTGAAACTATTGCCCTTTACTTTTAGACTAAAAGTATCCTCTGATGTCATTAAAACAGAGAAGGGGGGAACTGATCTAAATGATGGCGTATAATATCATACACACACACACACACACACACACACACGGTGACAAACAACAGAAATAAGGGTGAAAGGAGACAGTGATCGGTGTAGTATAAGAAAATAATAATAATTTATAATTTATCAAGGGTTCATGAGAGTGGGAGAGGGAGGGAAAAATGAGCTGATAGCAAGGGCTTAAGTAGCAAATGTTTTGAAAAGGATGATGGCAACATATATAGAAATGTACTTGACACAGTGGATGTGTGGATTATTAGAAGAGCTGTAAGAGCCCCCAGTAAAATGATTAAACAACAACAACAAATGGAACAATAGCTGACTTAGTAGAACATGTGTCCGTGGCATCCCAGGAGCGCGGGGCTGAGTGGCTTTGTGTGGAGTTGCTACAAGGTCAGCTGTTCCAAGCCACCAGCTGCTGCTTGAGAGAAGGTTGAAGCTATCTGCTCCCGTAAAGATTCATGGCCACAGACAGACGGACGTCCCCAGGGACAGATTGGGATGATATTGACAGTAGGCACTTGAAAGATCAGGTGGGAACCTCGGGGCCAGTGAGTGGGTTTCTGTGAGTGACTGAGACTGTGCCCCCTGGAGGAACGTCATCATCGCTAAGTGGTGAGGAGTGTCACACGCAGAAACTGCCGCATCGGTGGACATAGCTCAACGAGACTGTAGTTCGAAGCTTAACAAATGGAAGCCTAAGAGCAGGTGTGCAGGAATCGGCCCCCCTGGTGCTGCTCCAGCTCCCTTCCAGGGCCTGGCGGGCGGGTGGCTCTGACGACCTAGGCCCAGTCCGCTCAGCTGCCCGCTCTCCGGAGCCCGCCTCGGGCCAGCCCAGCCCTGCCAGCTCGAGGGTCCGTCTCACCAGGAGGAACTTCACTTTTTGCCCAAGAGCCAACTTAGGGGAAAAGAGAGGGCTTGATGGGCAGCTTCTATAAAGAAAAACTTTTGTCTCCTATGAATAAAGTGTCCGAACCCGTGCGTAAGCACGAGCCTTCTTTCATCACGCCCCTGTCACCAAACGGTTTCTGTCCTTTGGCTAAAGTTTCAGAAAGTGCGTAACCAGCAGTATCTGATGGTAACAGGGCACCTTTGATCCGGTTTCAGGGGCCTCGCTCATGCTGTTTTCCCTGGCCTGCCTGGTGAGACGCAGGATGGCCAACTGTGGGGCGTCATCCCAACGCCTCTCAATGACGGGTGGCTCCCTCCCACCGGCTGCCCGTGGCACCCGGGACAACGGGAGAGGTTGGCCCCACCCCACCGACTACGCAACCCCACAGCCCTCCTGCAGCTCCTCTTCCCTCCTGATGTGGCTGTATTGTATGCCCGAGACTTCATCTGAAAGCCACCCTCCTCGGCTCCCCTTGTCCCACTAGGGGAAGGGTGCCATGCATGACCGTCAGCACGCAGAGGGGCGACCTAGGGGCTGGTGCCAGGTGGAAGGAGATGAGCCCAGGAAGGGAGATTGCTGCCAATTTCTAGCAAGCGGAGTGGAAGGAAGGCCGGGCAGCAGTGCAGGGACAGCTGGTGGAGTGACGTGTGTGGAGTTGACTCTCTTACGGGTTCTCGAGTGAACACGAGAGTAAATGCCAGCCAGCGCCGGAATGTCTCTGTAGAATCCATGAAATGCCCTGGAGTAGAGAATGTGTGCCCTTGTGATCGAGCCCGCGCATGATGTGTGTTTGTGTTGGACAAACAGCGGTGCACACGACGGAATGGACTCCCTGGTGCAGCACGTTGAAGCCCTCAGGGATGGCCTTGGACAAGTACTCTAACTGGTCTTGGTCTCACTAGGGATAGTGGCCGCCGGGGGGCTCTGCTGGGCCTGTTTCATTTCAGGCAGGCCGATCAGCTCCAAAGGTTACGCCGGCTGGTTTTCAGGATCATCACGAGAACTTATTATGAAGAAGTTTTAAGAACATCGAAGAGCTCGTTGGTGAGACAAAGGCCAGCAAAATTGTGTCCTGAGGGATTTCCCCTCCCCAAGCCGGCCATGTACCTTCTCGTGTTGAGAGCAGCAAGGGCTGGCTGTCCTCTGAGAAGGTTGCGGGGAATGCCTGCCGCGCCCGCCCTACAGCCCTGATCCTGCCCCTGCACACTCCTCTTGGTTCACTAAACTCAAACATTGAAGAGGAATGTGATTTCGAGTCCCTAGAGAAAGCTGAAAAGTGTCATTGTAATGCGGTGTCAGTGGAGGAGTGCAGAGTGCTTCGGGGAAGAACGAGGGTGACAGAGCCAGCGTCTTCCGAAGTGTGCAGACACCAGTGGAGGCCATGGACCAATACCAGCTTCACATTTGGACAGTCCCAGTGAAGGTGCCCGTGAGTTTCCAGCAACACCTTTTGACTTGCCCTCGGACTTGGCAAAACGACATTTGACGGCACAATCTTTAAGTCTGTGACTCAGTGGTACCAGTTTATAGCTCAGCCCTCGGAATGGCACAGGCAGCCAGGTGAGCTGGCTCAGGCGGGCTCCACCTGGCTCAGGTGGGCTGCAGAGTCCAGCTGCGGTGGTAGTGTGTTCTCCTGAGTTGGAATCCGCTCACAGCGGCCCCACCAGGCTGCCCCCAAGGTTTCCAAAGTGTTGGTCACTGTAGAAGCTGACCATCTCCTCCTCACATGGAGTGGCTGGTGGGTTTGAACTGCCAACTTGCCAGTGAGCAGCCGCGCCACCCTGGCTGTGTGCACTGGGTGAGCCAGGGAGTGGTCAGGATGATGAGGAGATCAATGGCCAAGGCCTGGATTGAAAGGAAAGCATGTTGTGTGGAATTTTCAAGGGAGAATGGGTGGGAGGGGGGCGCTTCCGCCCCCGAGTCTGCCCGGGATTGCCGCTCCCCAGAAATCCCCACAACACGCGCTGACCTGCTCTCCCCACTCCGCCAGGCCATCAAGGAAACAGCCTTGTCCAGAATGGTGCTCTTTGGGGCCTCCGCCTGTGTCCCAGAAGTTGTGTCCTACTTTTTCAAAAGGTAAGCAGTCCCCTCACCCGCGCAGGTGAACAGCCCTAGACAGCAAGTGTGTCCAGTGCGAAGCTGGAGGGGTCAGGGCTGGGAAGCGTGAGCTTCAGTCATCTTCCAGTCACACCCTTTATGCCATGGTGCAGGGACGTGTGTGTGTGTGTGTGTGTGTGTGTGTGTGTTTACCAGGTGCTGCCACTAGGTAGCTGTGCCCAGGAGCCCGTGGGTGCCCACTTCTAGAATGAGGGCGCAGGCCCTTTCAGCTCGGTGTGCTCTGAGTATTGCTCAGGGACTTCCCACCCTGCACCATCCTGGCCATGTGTCAGTTCCCTGCAGTGCTCTGTGACTCTACTAAAGGCCACTGGAGGAAGATGAGCAGACGTGGCCCCAGATTTGGGGGCCTGTCACCTCTTGATAATCAAGAAAGGCCTGGTAGGAGGCGGCCCTGGGGGCCTGGTGGGGCCTGCTGTGGTTGTGAGGGTCAAGAAGCCCCACGTGCAGCAGCTGGCCAGCGGGGGACATGTCAGTGTGGGTGACGGACCTGGACACCCACCTCCCCCTTTCCTAGGTGTCGGCTTCTCTCTGCTGCACTCAGGCTCCTTCACCCTGATACGGAAGGGGTCGCTGACCACCCTCGGCTCAGTCCCTCACACCTTCCTGATCAGATATGCAAAATGACATGCCCCGGAGCCAGGGGAGGGGTCTTGCACTCCCTCAGAAAATCCCAAGGAAGGCTGTTGATTGGCTCATGCCAGGCCATGTGCCCATGGGGGACTAATCCATTCTCACCTGGATGGTGAGGCTAGGATGGAAAGGCCCCACCAGAACCACATACAGCATGTTTAGAAAGTAGGGGCAGGGTCTTGGGTAAGGGTCAGCCCAGCTGGGTGCATACAGACAGAGACGACTGGGGCTGACTGACACCAGAGCTCCTGTGGGAATGGGCCCTCCAGTCCGCCCCAGGGTGCCTACATCATGTACAGGTTGCATGGTGGGGAGCGGGGACCCCACTTTCCCAGTGGCTTTGGGGTGCTGGGAGGACCTTGTGCCTCAGGTGGGAGAGCAGCTTGTGTGAGGGCATGCAGTCTGCCAGTGGCCTCAGGTCCCTGGGCTTCCCCCAGGTCTGTCACAACCCCAGAGGGTCAGCACGCCCAGGCTCAGGACACAGGCTCCAGGGGGTTCTGAGGCTGCACCTCTGAGCCTTGAGATTCTCGACAAGCTACTTAACAGGTCATTTGTCAGAATGGGATGAGGGGGACATTGGTGGTTCAGTGGCAGAATTCTCACCTTCCACATAGGAGCCCTGGGTTCGATGCCTGCCTCAGGCACTTCCCGTGCAGCCACCGCCCACTGCCAGTGGTCTTCATGTTGCTGTGATGCTGGGAGTCTTCCAGGCTTAGACTGGGAAGAGAGTCCACACTCTGCTCTGAATCTCAGCTCAGTGGGTGACAGTGGTCCGGAGCAGGGGGAACAGGGGAGAAAACTCGAGCCTTGGGTGGTGGGGTCCCGTGATAGGCCACCTGTGAGGCACTGGGAAGCCCGGCAGCATAGCTGTCTTCTTGGCCTGTTTGTGGGTCGGTGGAGCCAAGCAAGCAGCTCTGGGCACAGTGGTTAAGGCGCTCAGCAGCTAACTGGAGTCAGCAGTTCAATCTACCAGCCGCTCCACTGGAGAAAGATCTGGGTCTGTTTCCATAAAGACGACAGCTGTGGAAACTGGGGCAGTTCTACCCTGCCCTGTAGGGTCACTCACTACGAGCCAGAGTGGACTTGGTGGCAATGGGTGTGGTGTGTGTGGTCTGAGCCTAGGCAGTAATGAGGCAGCTGTCTGTGGTGGAGGGTGGCAGTCAGTCTCACTGGAGCAGGGATGCCCAGGGAGGGGGAGTCTCCTGTGAGCAGTGCCTCCAGAAGGGGGTCTTGCTGGTGGTCAGCCCTGTCATGTTTCCTGCAGGACCCAGTTTTTTCTGCAGCACTCATTGTCACTTTGGGCTGTGAGGCTGTCCTGCAGCTACCTTGCCCTGGGACTGATGGTGCCTGTCTCCTTCAGCATGTTTCCCCAGGTCAGACAGGTAAGTTACCCCCATGCCCAGCTTGTGGAGGCAAAATTCTCAGAGGCCACAGTGGAGGCAGAAGTGGGGACTGTGAGAATGCCCTGTTAGGCCAAGGTGGGCACAGAGGTGGTCCTAGGCTAGCAGGCAGGGGCATGGAAGCCCACCCAGACACTGCAGGCTACACTCAGGGCCCCTGTGGCCAAAAGGGCCCGTTTCCCACCTGTGCTCCTGGCAGTCAGAGAAAACCCAAATGTGACCAGTTATTGGAATGCTGCCATTTGGGGCTCTTTCTGATTGATGGTGATCATGCCGGAGTAGGGTGGGAACATGTATCTGGCGATTGTCACAAAGGACCTTCCCAAACCCACTACCATCAAGTCACAATGACCGGATAGGGCAGAGCAGAGCAGCACTCTTTACGGGAGTAAGTAGAAAGCTTTTTGGCCTCATCTTTCTTCCCCAGAGAGGTTGCTGGGTTCGAACCACTGGATCTTTCTTCAGTTAGCGATTGAGTGATTTAATCACAGTGCTACCAGGGTTCTCTTGAAGTGCCTTTGAAGGGAAACAAGGCACACAGCAGGAGCAAAGGTGCTTGATGGAATAAGACAGCCGAGTGAGGATAGCACAGGCTAGATGCTGAGTATGTGAGTTCGGTATGGTTCTGCCGACGTGGGGTTGTCCCAGGAGAAAGACCAGGCTTCCTACTTACTCCCGTAAAAGTGAGAGCCTCAGGAACCCACGAGGCCAGTTCTGCCACTGAGTCGGAATCCACTTGAAGGCAGGGAGAAGAGGAAGCAGTATGGGTTATATTTGAGATTCTCCACAAAAAGTATCCGGGGGCTATATTGTTGCCCTAGAGTGGGCCTCGTGACTAAAGATGGACCACGGAGCGGTTGGTTCTGAAAATGACTTGCCTCTCGGCTTCCGAGGGAAGTGCTGTTGACTCAGAGGGCCTCTCCGTTGCTCAGATCCAGTGCAGCGGGCTCGAAGCGGCCATCCAGTCTTCAACCCAAGAGACGGAGCTCTTCTACCACAGGGGCGTGTAGGGGCCACTTTGAGGGGACGGTGCCCCGCTGAGGCCGCCACAGTGCTGCCCGTGTCTGGGGCTCTCGGGCATGGATGGAAGCAGAGAAAGGAGTGGAGTGGTGGGGGTGGGGGTGGGGTGCTGGTCCTGGTGACATGCCCCCAACCAGTGCCTGGGGACAAGCAGTGTCAAAATCAGTTTTCCGTTTGCTCGTTGGCCTGTGGAAGGTAACTGTACAATGACTAATAAACTTGTGAACACTGAAAACACCTTGCTGGGCTACTGTGGCTGGGAACGTGGTTGAACGGTGGTCTTGGCAGGGGTGGGGGCAAGGAGGGGTGTGTTCCAGAGGCTGGGAGGGCCCTGGCTTCCTATCCAGGGCCTCTCTCCAGAGCCAGGCTGTGCAGCACCCGTCAATGTCCCGCCTGCAGTTCCTTCTCCACTGCCCCTGCCACTGTCAGCGAGGGTCCCCTGGCCCAGGAAAGACCCCCTCAGGAGTGACGAGGTCCCCTCCCCTCATTCTTCCAGACAAATGCTTAGTCTGTACCACCTTCTGCCCAGCAATTGACCCAGCTTCCCCTCCACTGAAAACGGTGGCCCATGGCCAGGAAGAGCCTTTTGGCCCCAGGTCCAAATCTCCCGCCGTGTCCCCCTCCCCTACCCTCAGGTCACTCTCCTCGGTTCTGTGAACTCCATGTCCCCCCAACCCCCACCCCGATCCCCACCTGCCTCATTCAAAAGCCCTTCTGCAGCCAGACTTGGGCAACGAGGCACACCCCTGCCTCCACCCCACCTTGCAGGCTGTTTGGCACCCTGTTCCTGAACTGCCATCCAAGCTGAACCTGTGCCTGCTGTACTGCACCATGGGTGTGTCTCAGAGACCCCTCAAACTCAGCCCTCAGTGGCACCCCTCCCCTCCCCCACCGCCATCCAGCGGATGAGCTTAGAGGAAACCAAATCACCAAACTCACTGCCATCAAGGTGATTCAGACACACAGTGACCCTATAGGGCAGGGTAGAACTGCTCCTGTGGGTTTCTGAGACTGGAAATCTACAGGAGGGGAAACCTCATCTTTCTCCTGAGCAGCAGCTGGTGGTTTCAAACTGGCCCAGATCTAACAGCCACACCAAGGCTCCTGTCCTTAGAAACCAAAACCAAATCCACTGCCATCAAGTTGATGCCGACTCACAGCGACCATATAGGCCAGGGTAAGAATGCCCTGGGAGTTTATAAAGGTCTCTAGAATCATCTCTGGCCACTACTCAGCCCAACAGCACCCCCTGCTGGTACGGCTGCAACAGCACCTGGCCTGGCTGGCTGGCCTCCAGGTAACCCCATTTCCCAGCCTGCTCCTGCCATCCATGCATGCGTGATACCAAGCACCAGCTTCCCAGGGCATCAAGGTCAAGACTGACTACTGGGTTAGGGGCTCTGCCTGTGCTCAGCAAAATCCAGACCCATTGCCATCATCGATTCCGACTCAATGACCTTATAAAGCTTAGCACCCTCTAGGGTTTCTGAGGCGGTGAAATCTTTATGGAAATATGCTTCTTCCTGTAGAGCAGCTAATAGAATCAAACTGCTGACCTTGGGTTTAGCAGGCCAAGGCGTTACCCACTACACCACCTGGACTCCTATGCTCCCACACCAAACTTACTGCCATCCGATCAATTCTGACTCATGGAAGTAGAAAGCCTCATCTTTCTCCCTCAGAGAAGCCAGTAGTTTTGAACTGCGTACCTTACATTACAGTTAGCAGTCTAATGTGTAACCCACTAGGCCACCAGTGCTCCCACAGTCTGTGTATTTCCTGGGTCACATCTAGCTAGCACTGGCCCTGCTGTAATGCAGTGGTCACTCTCCTGGTCTTCCTGGGGACTCTGGAAAGCAGGCACTGGGGCAGCCCAGATCTAGCAGGGCACCTGGCACACACAAGGCCAATGCTCTCTCCCCACATCCCCAGGGTACGTACAACTGTGGCTTCCTACTGCCTTTCACCAGCGCGGTGGTTCTTTTCTAGATTTGACCAAAGGGGGTTTGCAATGGACTGAGCCTGACGGCATTACAGAAACCACCTGCCAGGTGGTTCACAGGCTTACAGGACACAAAACGGAGAGGACCACGAGTCAACTCCAGGATATGGGGGTCAGAGGTGCAGTGGGGGGGTAAGGAGCAGGGCATCCCACCTTCAGTCCCCAGTGGGTCAGCAGTTGGGAGGACGAACTTTTTCCTCCTTTTTGTTGGGGAGAACTGGATAAAGAAGGCCTGTGGGAAACTTATTCGCTAACTGGTACGGAGGAATCTGGAGGCCAGTATTCCATGGTAGGAAGGCCACCACTCTGGTAGTTGGAGATGTAGTCCAAGTACATTTTCCTGCGGTAACCTGTCATTTTCACCTTAAAGCGATGCTGCCTTAAAGTGAGCACTTGGCTGACTCTCTCTCCCTATAGAAGCAGACACTGCCGAGGCATCCAACCCCTCATACCTTCCTCCAATAGCAGACTTTATTCCCCAAGCCTGGATTCAAAATGCTTGCCATAAGCCTGAGTTTTTGGTTTGGCTACTTAATAATGTCATCAATTTTGTCTTGGCAGCTTTTAATGTATAGAAAATAACCGTGTTGCCACTGCAGCTCTTTTGAATTTTATATATAAAACAAAAGGGGGAATTGTGGGATAGTTTTCTCCCAAGTTGTCTCCCTCAAATATATGCCAAACCTAGCTGCTTGCTACACATGGTAAACGACTGTACACTTGGAGGTCAGAAGTAGGTCAGAGGCTCTTCTCCCTAAGGGTTATCAGTCACCCAGAGCAATCAGACTGTAGAATCTGTCCCACCCTAGTAGGGCCCACTCCCTTCTGATAAGGATAGTAATAGATTTTCCTTGAAGGAGAGCTGGGGGAGGTCAAGCCTACTCAAGGATGACCAAGGTTAGGCTGCCATATTGAGTCGAGGATCCGCCCCTCTTGTCACATGTAGACCCCTAGTCCCTCCCCTTCCCCTACGTTTATGCCTATTGTACATCCCTTTCCTGTGATGTGTGCGCCTATTGTACAACCCCTTCCTGTGACATATGTCCTTACCTGTAATTAGGGGATATGCACGCCCCCCAAGATATATAAGCCTTGGTTAGTAATAAATCACTCTCTCGCTTGCTCCTGCCCTCTCGGCTCCCACCTCCACATGGACCACCAAGAGGTGCTGAGGTGAGCATGCTACCATGAAATGTGTCTGACCTCTCCATTTTACTCACCCTCCTATCTATATTATTCTCTATGACTTTACCATAATCTCCCTATATATTTTAACTACAATTGGGCTTACTGAACCCATGATAGTATGAGGGGCTGCCCTCCCCCACAAGGGCCCAATTCCTCACCTACCTAAATCTGCTATATATCAATATGCTCCGTTTCTTTCTTTCTTTTTTTTTTATGCTCCGTTTCTTCATCACGAATTTAGCATTGTAACAACTTTCATCATTAGCTGATAGTAATACCAAAAAAAAGGGGGGGGGGCAAGAAGGATGTTAGCGTTCATTTCCATAAAGTGCAGGTTTAATTTTTCATTATTTGCCTCAGTAAACATCATCTCCTTTCAGATCTCCTCCTGCTCCCACCCGAGGAAGGTGTTTTTGTCTTTAATTATTATTGTTATTATTTTGCTTACTAAAGGTCCAACATTAAGAAGAAAAGTTCCCACGTGGACAAGAATTTCTGCCAACATTTTCTGGGTAAGATTTCTAAGGACACCAGTGTTACTGGAGTGAACAACAGTCTTGTATGAACACATGAGATAAAAAGACAAGTACATCCTTTACACTTCCGTGCGGATCTGATCACTTTACGATGTCGGATTATGAAAACGGCACTTTAGGGCCCGAGAACAAGTCCCTTCGTGCACAGCCAAATCACTCGTACTGGAGCTTTTTGGAGACAAGTTCTGATCTGGCCACGGAAGACCTCTCCTCTCACTCTCACCAACGTCACAACAGGTCCACTCCGAGCCTGCTTCTGGGGTCACTCTGCCATGTAAGGACTGGCCTTCCCCCTCAAAGGACAGTGCTAGCAATGGGGTTAGTTAAAAGCATGAAAGGCTGAAGTCGGCCAAACGTTTACCTCTGCGACGGCATAAATAGGGATGGTTAAAGTTGTCTGCTCAAGTATAAAACCTACACAAACCCTCATAGGCAAAAAGGTTCAAGGGCCAAGGGAGAAAAGGAAACAAGATATTTTTTTTCTTTTATAAGAAAGTGCAACTGCAGGGTCTCTTGAATGGTCTTCTAGACAGTTCTACCGAAACCTTAGTCGTTTGGCTCAGAGAGTCAAGTTCCTCATGAGAAATTGAAGTTCTTCCTTAGAAGAATACAAAGCAAAATTTCAGGCCACTTTCTGGATATAAACCATTAGTGTGTGGATACACAGACAGGCTTAACTTAGAACTGTGGGGCAGGCAAAAGGGCCCGAGCCCCGTGCCCAGGCTGGGGCTGCTGCGGTGGCCATGTGCTCCATCCAGGACGGGGCCCGGGGCCCAGGATGGGTCTTTGTGCAGCTCGCACAGCAGGAACACAGCTAACCGGAGGAAACTGGACGTCGTTTCCAATACTTGGCGAGAAATTGCTAAGAAGAGAGCATTTCTGGCATGATGTCCAGTACTTTCCACACTGACTGGCTCGTCAGAGTGGGAGGGCGGCACTTCCTGTCTCGGGGGTTTTCAGCATGTGCTCCGCGGCTGCCAGGTGGTACAGGAAGTTTTCCGTGGCTGGTGGGAACCGCTTCTGCTTTAGTGCTTCCAAATCTAGAGCTGGCTTTTCTCCGTCCCCAGAAGGGTTGGCTAAGGATGCGAGGTTGGTCAAGAGCTCTCTGGTTTTGAGAGAAATGTCCTTTAATGGAACAGGAAAAGATGTCATGTGTTAGCGTCCAAGAATCTGAAGGAAGCCGGAGACTGACCAGAAGGACAGGGAGAGGGTGCAGGGGGCATGCTGGTGTTTCGGGATACTAACGTCCTAAGATCCTTGAATGCAGATACGTTCAGCTCCTCAGAGCTCTACGTTTTTCCCACGGTAACAGGAAGGCCTGTCCCAACTTTCATCCTAACTCTCACTACAGAGTTCCATCCTTGAGTCCCTCTGCCCAGAGGGCCCACTGGGCCCTAACTTGTCTTTCCCCAGTCCCTAGTCCACTTCCACAGGGCGTCCATCGACTAGACCCCAGGGGCAGGAATCATCAGGGGCAGTGCCAGGGGCTCTCCCTCGTCTACTTTGGGTGAAAAAAGGCAAAACGGTGGTCAGCCAGGGAGTCCGGGGAGCATGAAGTGTGGGGAAGGAGCTCACTGTTCGCCAGCGGCCCCACGTGCCAGCCACTGCAGGGTGTCCTCAAAGCCCACGCTGTTCCCTGCCGCTGGCACTAATGCATAGTGGGTACCTGTATTTGCCCCACAAAACTGAAGACGAGGCTTCCTCTGGAGTGAGCTGAGTAGGACTCGAACACCTCACACCTGGGACATTGACAGCCACTCCTGTGCCCATGGCAGACACTGCCAATCAATCGCAAGTGGTCCACGCCCGTGCCCCAGCTTCCCCAGCATACACCCCACATTACCACAGACTCCATATGGCTTGTTTCTGTCAACTGGAGTTTACAAAAGCCACAGAGCCATTTGTCCTCACAGTCTGGCCAGGGCGAGGGAAGGGTGCCAACAGGGCCAACACTGTCAGCCTGACGGGCAGAGCCCACAGAGGAGCTAGGTCTGGGATATCAAGCAGAGTCCGCACCATTTGGCAAGGGTCCTGAGACAGCCCAGCCAAGTGGAATGGAGACCATCCCGGCTGCAATTCATGCCCAGCAGAACCTTCTCTCTGCAACCTGTGCCTCCACGCTAATCACAAGGGGACAATGCTGGCCAGCCCCAGGGCATTCCAGACCACCGAGCGGTGACACTTCTGGCCGGATAACTGACAGGACCGTGGTGGCCCGCCCCTGCTCTCTCCCACATCCCTTCCCATGGTCATGCGGGCAGGAAGGCACAGACGGAGCAGTTACCTTGATGACTTGGCTGTCAGACTTCTCGGGGTCCTCTGCTGACTGGACGATCAGCTGCCCAATTTCTTTGTGCAGCTTCCCCATCAGCATGGCCTCTGGTGAGATCAAGGACATACATGTGTGTGACTATGAGACCTTCTTTACAACAAGAAGGAATTGTGCCACCTGTGAGGACACAGGACAATTGTAAGAAGCAACGGACGCCTCACATGTTCCCATTTTGTCACTAAAGCAACTGTGATGATGTGCTGGAAGGGACGGAACCCACACAATGATCACACTTCAGGTCCAAACACAGGGAGGGCAGAAGCCAACCAAGCCTCCCCAGGCCCCACCTGAGGAGAAAAATCTAACGAGAACTCCTGACTGTGAATAAATTGTCCTTTGAAGCCCACAGCCTGATTTTCCTGTCCAGGTCTGGGCAGCTGAAACGTTAACTTTCTGGGGGGGGATGTTGTGAAAGACACACTTCCTGTCAGCCAGCCCCATGGAGGCCAGTCGAGCACACGAAATGGCACCAGCAAAGAGCTGAAGGGAAATTTCTGTCTGGAGCCCCAAGGAGCAAATGTCACCTGGATGGTGCCACAGAGGCTGGGTCAGAGCAGCAGATGGCCCCGGGGAGGGGCTGCCCTGCCTGTCCTGAAGCGCCAGCAGGTTGAGTGGCCCTGGCTGCGGCCGGGTGTTCTGCTACTTTGGCTGAACCGACAGCACCCTCTTCTGAAGGTCTGATTTTATGCTTGAACTTTTCACCGAGAGTATGATCCTGTCTGTACTTTGAAAACGAATGGGAGGAGAATGAGTTCCACTTCTGTTATTAGATGCTGCTCAGTACAAGCTCCCCTGAACCCATCCAACAAAACCCCTGAGCATCTGGCCTGGGGCTGACGCTTGCTCCCCACCACCCACATTCAGGGGGAAAGACAAATGACACCAGAAAAGCTAACACGAGGAACTCTCATCCAAACCAACTGTAGAAGACGGCCCTGGGCACGAAATGCACGTAACCCCGTCTCCTCTGCTCCGTGTAGCTGCCACTTCTCAATCTCCCGCCGTGGACTAGACCCCACGCGTGGAGACCCCATTGGACAGAGCAGACTTGCTCCTGAGGGTTGCTGAGGCTGTAACTCTTCACAGGAACAGACAGCCTCATCTTTCTCTCGTGGAGCAGCTGGTGGGCTTGAACCACTGACCTTGTGGCCCAAGGCTTACCCCACAGTGCCACCTGCATGCCTCAGCTGTTGCTTAGAACCAGAGATGACACATTGCCATGAGAATGCCTTTTCTTGGTCGTTACTCCCAAGGGCACTTGAGCTTACAGAGCTCAAAAAACTTTTCCATGCAGGAGTTTTGTGTGGAGGCAAATGTCCACAAACTAGTCGTTGTGCCTTTCTAGAGCTGGAGCCCAAATCCTCTCCTCTACGGGGCCTTGCCCACAAGTAGAGGCTGGCTTCTAGTAAATGGAGTGAACCAGAAGTGACCACGTGTGATTCCTGAGCCCAAGTCCTAGAAGGTACCCCACACGGCCTCTACCACCTCATGAGGCCACTTAAGCTGCCCTACATGGAGGAACCGAGGCCTCCTGCCAACAACCCCATGAGGCGGCCGGGAAGTGGACCTTCCAGCCCCAGTCAGGCCAACAGACGACTGTAGCTACAGCCAACGCCTAACACACGGAGCCAGAACTGCACAGCGAAGCCACTTCTGAATCTTCGACCCACTGGAGCCATGAGATCTGTAGCCTATTTCTGTATTACATCACAGCCAACCCCTACCGAAAAGTGAAAAAACGAGACAAAAGGACTTTACCTTGTAAGTCTAAGCCATGCATAAGGAACCAGAACATTCTGCTAACTGGGCTAGGTCTGCAAGAACCACAAGAAAAATCCCTCCAGCTTCCCAGAGCAGGTTAAACTGCGAGTGCAGAGAAAAGCAGCCAAGAGAACATCACCTTTCTAACTTCTCCCAGGTCAACGCCCCGACAGAAGGAAGGTGAACACGCACCTTTGGCAAGGGGCGCGATGGTGATCTCGCTCTCTGCCAGGTTCACAAACACATCACAGAGGTCCAGTCGATTGCTCACTTCCAGGTCTGTGAATCCCGCGATGTAACCTGCAAGTCAGAGGTGATGGGAATTACCAAGGTGTGAGAAGAAAGCAGATGGCGAACAGATCAAAAAGGAAGTGCGGCTCAGCCCACTTCACCAGAACCAGGTGGCTGGGCCTCCCAGGAACAACGCGGTGGAGGTAGCATCACCTACGAATTTCAGTTCACAGACGAGGCACACACCAAGGGTCAGGGGAGCTCAGGAGCAGGATCTAGCAGACCTGAGGTTCCAGTGCTTCCCCCTGGTTGTGGGGTCAAGGCCACAGTCCCAGGCTGTTGGGATTTCACAGTGCAGGATGATTTGTTTTTGAAAAAACTCGGGGACGGAGGGAAAAGAAAGGAACTGATACCAAGGGCTCAAGTAGAAAGCAAATGTTTTGAAAATGATGATGGCAACAAATATATAAATGTGCTTGACACAATGGGTGGATGGATTGTGAGAGGAATTATATGACCCCCCAATAAAATGATTAAAAAATAATAATACAAACAGGAGAGAAAACCCTTTAAACTCTTCTACCTGTAGAATTTTATTAAAAAACAAAAAACCTTAAAACCGTTAAATGAAAGCCTAATAAATTCCAACATGGGAAACTGAGAATCCAAGACACCATAAGGAAATTGGGGGGCGGGGGAGTGGGGGATATGAAAAGTGGAGTTTGGAGAGCGTATGTAATCAATGGTTTCATGTTCTGAATGTGTGCAGACAGTCTATCAGCCATTAAGTAAAAAGGAAAGTGTCAAAATGAGAGAGATTCAGCCATTTTTCAGAAGAGAACATAGAGATGGCAATATAAACCATCCATTCTGACACAGAGCCACCTACAGAACTGCTACCTGGGGCTTCCGAAGCTGGACATGTTTGTGAAAGCCACCTCGTCTCTCTCCTGGGGAGCAAGCAGTTGGTGGGCTCCAAGCGCCGTGCGTTGGCTAGCAGGCCAACACCCACCCCACAGTACAACAGAGAAAGCTGTTTAGCTGCATTAGCAATCAGGCAAATGCAAATACAGTCACAGTGAAATACCATAGACACCCAGCCCCACCACCCCAAGCAGGCTGGCACCCCCATTTTAAAGGTGGCTAGCAACGAAAATAATTTTCTGGTTGGGGTCATGACAACATGAGGAACTGTATTAAAGGGTTGCGGCATCGGGAAGGTTGAGAACCGCTGATACAGAGTTTCCAAGGCTGTAAGTCCTGATGGAAGCAGACAGTCTCATCTTTCTCCATACATAGCTCACATAGTGCAAGGAATCAGCTCCCTTTAGAAAGGCACACCCAGGGCCTCCTACAGTGGACCACTTCCTCCCCCAGCCCCGCGGCTACCTGTGCACATCTGCAGGGCTTCCAGCTCATCAGCGCTGAGGTGCACGTAAGAATGGAGGGTTGTCCAATCCTGTCGGTGCCACACCAGGGCAGGCAATGTCCTGAGGAACCAAGGCAAGAACTCAGATGGTTGCTGGGCAGCACCTTAGAGACCACACCTCCCCAACCCACCCCTTCCTTTCCTGTCCTCTCCTCCCCACCGCCGGCTCTGCAGACACCCGAGGTGGTGTCTACAGGAAAGAAGCAGGTGGGAAGTTTGCTGTTTGAGATTTCTGTGTCCAGCCCAATGTGCAAAACCCACTTTTTGTTTGTTGGGATATAAAATAGGTTTCCTCAGGGAAAACCTTGGGTAAACTGATGTTTCTCGGGTTTCTTGGCTACTTCGGGAAGCTGTGCTGCTTCATCTATCTAGGGCCTCATGTGTCCCTGGTGCCCTGCTTTTCCTGGGGGAAAAGGCAAACTATGAAGAAAAAGAGAGCCAGGTTATGGGGACGGGTCCAGGACCCAGACCAAGCAGGGGGCAAACTCTGCTGGCTCCTTTAAGGTCTGAGAACTATGATCATTCAATAGTCCTTTGGTATTGGGCCTAAGTACGCCACTCTTTAAACGAACGACTTCTGATCTTAACACTTATCTTAGAAGCTAGGCAAACCAAACTGAACTGCCAAAGAGTTGATGCAGACTCACAGCGATCCTATTTAAGACAGTGCAGAACTTCCCTGTGAGTTTCTGAGACCACAACTATTTACAGGAGTAAAAACCTCCGCCTTCCTCCCTCAGAGCTGCGAGTGGCTTCAAAATGCTGACCTTTCGGATTGCAGTCAATGCATAACCACTACGCCGCCAGGGTTCCTTAAAGGTGGGAAGTGTCTGCCTTTGACAGAGAAACTGAAGCTCAGAAAGGTTAAACACCTCTTAGGTGGAGACAGGGCTAGTAAGTTCCTCTCAGGATTTTAACCCTGATCTTTTGACTATACAGCCTGTTCTTTTCATGGTCTGACCACTTAGCTTCTCTGGGCCTCAAATTTCTCTTCCATGAAATGGAGACAGGGTGTGTATCCGGGGAGGGCTCTTTGATGGTTTAAATTGCCTTCTATAATGCCTGGCATAGAGTCAGCATGGCACAAATGCTGGCTTCTCACTTTAAAAAACAAAACAAAACACCTACAAATATTCTGCATTTATCATAAAATACAAGATTCTGGCACCAAGGTCAGCGACCCTAACCTAGCTCACAAAGTCCTCATTCCGTTCTGGTGAGTAGGAACTGGGAGCTTAAATGCTCATGAGAAGCTATTGAGGGTGCATCTGTTGTCTCTCCGCTCTAGAGGAAAGAAGAGGATGCGTATCGGCCCCATGAACTAATGAACCACAACCTCACTGCATATCGATTCCGACTCAGAGTGACCCGACAGGACGGAGAAGAGGGGCTCTTAGGAGTCTGAGGCCTTAACTCTTTACAGGAATAGAAAGCCTTCCTCTTGCTCCCACAGAGAAGCTGGTGATTTCGAACTGCTGACCTTGTGGTTAGCAGCCCAATGTGTAGCCCACTACGCCACCAGGCTCCTCATGGACTCAGGGACCACACAAACAAACATCAGCCTCCACAACCCTGAGAGCAGAGACCTATATGGTGTCCAGTTACTACTACCAACTGCTCTGAAAGGGACCAAGTTAGAAGATCCTGCACAGCGTGGGAGAAAGACGTGGAGCCAAACTCAAAATCATGAGAGAGCTCAGGCTTGCTGGGAGGACAGAGAGCAGTCCTTGGTCACCTGTGGCTCGGTTCTCAGCCAAACTTACAGCCTGACAGGCCAATAAGAGGAACGGTAACACTACGGATATATTGGACATCTCCGAATAATCAAGCATTTGGAATCAGGAGGGGAGCCCTGGTGGGCTAATGAGTTATGCACTGGATAGATAATCCCAAGGTCAGCAGTTTGAAATCACAAGCCGCGCCGAAGGTGAAAGATGAGGCTTTCTACTCCCATGAAGTGACAGTCTCAGAAATTAACAGGGTTGCTTTGAGTGGAGTTTGGAGTTTGGGGATCCGGAGGCAGGATTAACCCAAGGAGGAGGAACTGAGACGGAAACGTGAGGGAGACGGGGTGAGTGCTGCTACCCTGGGAGGATGCAGTGAATGAGACGAAACTCGAGGTGTGAGAACCCAACGTTGAGTGGGAAACTGATGATCTGCACCGCAAACCTCCACTCAACTCACAGTGAAAGTTTATAAATAAACCAGATAATTTGTTTAAAAAAGCAAAGTGAATAAATGAAGAACAGAATAAAGTGAATAAAACAGAACAGAAAGAACAACTTTAAAACGAAGGTTGGCAACACCATGGTTCACAAACCTGCTGTCTGTCTCTGTAAGTAAAGTTTTGCTAGAAACCGGCCACACTCACTTGTTAACAGTCCCTGGGCTTGCACCAGACAAGCCTGCTGCAAAAGACCTCTTTACAGTGTTCACAAAGCCTGCCGCTTTGAAGGCCACGGTGTGCCTGACTCAAGCCTGATTGGTATTTTCAATCGCCTCCTAGGAAGCTGGCCAATGAACACGGAGAATTGGTGCCTTTGGGTTATGGGGTTGGTGAATAAAACTACACTACGGGCTGCCAGAAGAATGAACAAATCCGTTGTGGAAGTAGAGCCACAATGCTCCTTGGAGGTGAGACTGGCGAGACTGTGTCCCCTGTACTTTGAGGCAGAGGGAAAGCAGAGGGTGAAAATAAAAGGGGGAGCCTCTCAAGGAGAGGACAGGACACAGCAGCAGCAGCAACCGACGGAAGCAGCAATGGCTGTGAGAACGACTCGGGGGTGGGCATGTTGTACCCTGTTGGACAGCTGCTTCCATGAAACCACAGCAAAGTAAGGAGTTACAACAGAAACGACAGGCCCGGCGAGCCTACAATACTGTCCCTTTGGAAGAAAGAAAGTCTGCTGACGCCTGCTCCAGAATGTTCAGTGTTCCAATTCCAATCAGATAATTAGATACTAGATTATAGAAATAGGTAACAATGTAGTAATAGGTATCCTTCTTCATCTCTTAGTCCAATTAGAACTGCCCAAGTTCCAAGACCTTGAACAATTAGATTTAAACCAAAACATTGGAGCATAATGGTATTTCATGTCCAACCTACCACATTCTGGTGATGCCAACTGTGCGACAGAACAGAGAATTCTCAACTGGCTGCCAACCAATCTACACTTGTTAACGGTTAGCATCCATACCTGGTAAACTCCTGAACAGCTTCTATGCTTGGATGGTAAACGACGATTCTTTTTCTTAGCATCAGTGCTGTGTACAAGATTACAGTTTCCATTCCAAATTGAGATACAATATCTTTAAAAAAGAAAGAAATTAGAATGTTATGGCATTCAATACTATCAAAAACTCACTGCCATTCCGACTAGACCTTACAGGACAGAAGAGAACTGCTCCTTTGGGTGTCCGAGTCTTTTAAATCTTTACGAGAACAGACAGTCTCATTTTTCTCCCTTGGAGGGCTGGTGGGTTTGAACTGCTGACCTTGAGGTTAGCAGGTCAATGTGTAACAACTGCACTGCCAGGGTTTCCTATTAAAACACTAAAGAAGAGAATACAGTCTTTATCAGAAAGAACTTGTGATCGGAAGGCAAAACTATTTGCAGTGGAGAGAAAACATTTAGGAGAACATTTTGGCAAGTGCCAAACCCAATGCCCAGCCTGTTGTCCTCAGGTCAACCCCTACTCCTAGTGGTCCTGTGGGACAGAGGACAGAAATACAGTATGTGGTGGATGGGTCTGTCCATCTGCACGCTACAATGAGTAACAGCTGCCTACCACTTCCCCCAGAGGCCCCATACTGGGTTCACAGACCACGCCAGGCTCAGGAGAATAAATGATGGGACCGGTACTAGCAGTTTCCTGTCTCCTGACAACTGACTGACTTTAAAAACACTGTTCCACGGCCTGTCCCCACTCCAGCCAGCCATATAGGTCATTACTTGAACCCACATAAGTTAGCATGATTAACAAGTGAACATCTCAAGCACAGAGCTGTGGGGTCCCAGGCAAGGACAGGCAAGATGTGCACAAACACCAGCATCTCCTTTAAGCTGCCTTCTCTTTCCTGAGGACCCTGAGGGCTATGGCACAGCCCTGTGCTGGCCTCGGCTGGTTCTGATAATCCAGCTGAGACTGATGGGCTAGGAGTGTCAGATCTCCAGGTATAGGAGCTACCTGCCAAGATGGAAGGGGAGGAAAATGCGAGTGATCCAAGCCATGAATTCAACCTCAGGTGAGAGATTGCTTGTCTCACAGAGTAATGTGGGCAACCACCAGAATCTGCTCTCCGGCTCAGCTGTGAACCGTAAACGCGGACGGGCATGAAGCGTGCAGACGGCACGAGGACCCAAGGAGACACTGGCCTCGACGTGAGGGCTTTGTGGTTGGGGTGGGTTTGGTTTTCTTTCCAGTAGTAAAAATATGCACAACAACGCGTACCCCAATTTAACGCTCTCTGTGGGACGGTTCCGGGGCACCCACTCCCCTCGCGAAGTGACTGTTGTGTGCTGCTTTGTTTACCTTTGATGGACCCTGCGAGGTAGGCCTTTCGGGCATCAAAGTCCTTGCTGAGGAAAGAGCCATTTTCCTCAGTCTGGCAGATCCCCTTGGTGAGGACTGCAATGTAGCTCTCCATCATTTTCACCGGGCTCCCGTGTCTCAGGTACATTCTGGAAGAAAGGACAAAGACCACGGGATTGTAGTTGGCGGGAACAAGGAGAAGTGCCCCAAGGCTAGGCATGGGCACCTGCTAGAGAGCTTCCAGCCAACTTGCTAAGAGTCTTCTGAATATTTACTTCTATGGCACTTATCGCCTCTACAATTTTCTTTGAGGTCGACAAGCCTTTGGGGTCCACAAGCCTTGGGCAGTCAGCTCACCTTCCAGCCCCCAGAGCTGCCTACTCTCACCCACTGGGGCAGGAAAACGGCCTCTGGACTTGCGGAGGCACCATTATTCCTGAGCACTGGGTAGACCTGGGGTCCTACATTCAAACAACTGGTGCTTAGTCATAACTCTTTTTTATTGCTGGAACTACCCGTGACAAGGAAGACGTCACAGGCATTGTTCCCAGAGAAAGCAGTAATTAGCCCGAGAACCCATACTACTATCAGAGCTCCCAGAGGTGGCTATATTTAGATCATTAAGAAACCAAGGCGCCTCTTAAAAGTTTCTGGTGATGAACGTACAGGAGCTACGTCCTTTGCCCAGCTGCATGTCCAGAAAATGCTGACAGGAAATTGACTGCCCTGGCGGCTCCCCTGTGGCGCCTGTCTTCCTGGGAAGAACCCTCAGTAACCTTTGCTGGGGAAATACGGGGGTCTTGTTAGGTAGCTGAGCGGGCAGCAAAATGAGAAGGCGATAAAGCTGGTGCTTGGGATAGCTTGCTTGAACACTACGTGGGCTGCTGAGTGAGGGGAAGGGCAAGTGCTTTACCTGCCTACCAAATGCTGTTGGTCCTAAGTGGGTCTTCAGCACCTCAATCCTAGAGGTAGAGATTAATGAATACGGTACCAAAGCCAACCCAAGCCCATGGCCATCGTGTCCACACTACAGGACACAGTAGAACGAACCCACTGGGCTTCTGAGGCTGTCATGTCTGTCTCGCCTGGAGTGGCTGGTGTGAACCGCCAACCTTCGAGTCTGGAGTCAGGCGTCTAGCCACCAGGGCTCCTGAAAGACTAAGATAAGCTCTCCAAGGTCTATCTGAGGGGGTTTCAGAACGTTTGTGGACAGACTTAATTATTTTTATATTCCATTTTCCATGGACATTCTGAAGCCCGCTGTATAATATATTCAAATCCAAGAAAATCAAACATGTGGATATGCAAAGAAAACATCTCTGCTTGAAGATAGAGGGGCTGTCCTGGGGGTGGGGTAAAACGGGGGCCTCAGGAGCTGGGGTACAGAAGACTATTTCTACCCTCTACCGCTTGGCATTGCTTGCATTATTCTCAACCACGTCCTGGCGTTACTAATAACTAAACGTTAAAATCCCATAAAATGCAGAGAGACAGCAACAGAGGGAGACCCTCGATGAGACAGAGTGACACATGGCAACAACCCTGGGCTTGACTGTGGACTGGACAGTGTCTCCTGTTGTTTGTAGGGTCACTCTGAGCTGGAACCGACTTGGTGGACCAAAGAGCAATATGTATTTGCCTGCAACAACTAAAATATAAACACCACTAAAATTGTCAAACAGGAAGAGGACTCAGTAAGAGCAATGGGGACTTGCTGCCACAGCTGGCCCAGGGCCACTGGTTCCCAAGGGCCCCCTGCAGGGACTAGGAGATGAAGAAGGGGTGAAGGTGACGGATCTGGCTCCCCACCAGGGAATGCTGCCTTCCGTGCCTTGGAGAGCAACGGCCTGCCAGGGCTTTCACGTCACGTCGATGTGAGGCAGCACCTGCATGCCAAGCTCACGGTGAGGAAAAAGGATCTATTTCTTTGCAATCGCCTGGAGCTCTTGCCCTGCTATAACCTCAAGGTCAGTCACTTGAAAGCACCAGCCGCTCTGCTCCAAGAGCGAGATGGGGCTTTCTACTCCCATGAAGAGTTACTGTCTCAGAAACCCACAGGGGCAGTTCTACCCGGCCCTCTGAGTCAGGACAGACTCGTTGACACTTTTTTGGGGGGAGGTGGGTATGCATGGACACATGCATGTGCG